AACCAGAGGACAAGTAATTAGAATACGATCAAACGTCCGGATTGAACGAAGAAATGAACGAGAACGTATTAAGGAGAAGTTTCCTCACATTAAACTCACTCTCAGCAAGATACCGGCCACAGGTTAAAGTATTTGAACTGGACATCAACTAAATGCTTTATATTATTTATGGCAGTAAGGATACACGATTACTTTATAAATTTATATACACTGTTGCTAAAATGTAAACTACAGCTAAGAATTGCCATCATCATATAAACTGTCTTATGTCTGTCTGGCAGTCTGAAGAGAGAGAAATGAGAATAGTTGGGGAGTATTGGCGGCACATGACAGCCCGCTCACCATCGCAGATGGCAGATTCGATCTCTATTGAGAAGTTGGTGCTGCAGGGTCGACTCAATAAAACAGAACAAAGAAGTAATCTAACACCTGATCTCATTATACACAACAAGGAGCTGGCACGGGAGTCTCTGTTGCTTTTGAAATGCCAATATATTTGACAGTCTTTGGGTGATGGATGGAGAACTGAAAATTGCAGTAATTCCTACTAAATAACTAAGATCCATCAGAGTGCATCTGGATATTTACAACAGTCTAATGCAGAATTTTGGAAACAACAACAACATATAGGAAAACAAAATGCTGCTGTTCCACAGTGTGTGGTTGTAGTAGTGGCTCCCCCCTTGATGATTTGTTATATAGTATCATTGTATTAATGCAGCTGATCCATCTACTGTACACACACTCCACGACAGTGTGGAGAGGCTCCTCTGTGTCCCATAAAACCCCACAAAGCAACATAATGTAAATGTTCTGGAAAATGACGAATTTGAAGAATGATAACCTTAGCTGTTATCTCTCTGTGTGGAAAAATGGGCCATATGATACGGTGCAAATTAGGCAGCTGTTAAGAGCTGGCATGATAAGACTGTGTGTACTGGGTTTTGGTACTGAGGATGCCTACAAATACTGGACTAATTTCCTTCATAATTAATATTGTTAGGTAACACAACTAGATTTATAAAGCAATATGGATGCCAACATTTGGACGTTGTCTGTTAGTGCCTTAGAGCTTAAATATGTAACGGCCACACTAACACCCCATCCTACTGTTGTCCCCATTTATTCATTAAAGCCACACAACTACAAGATATTTATATCAGAGTTTATACGTTCATCTTTGTAATCAACTAAGCAGATGTTGAGCAGTCGGTCAACTTGAACAGTCTTTTAAAAAATTGGCAGTTATTATTCTAGCTGGTTTCAATTACCATATTTACATACATACAATATCACCATTACCATAAACACAGAGTGTAGCGTCGCTTCTCATCCGGAGGGTCTGTGTGTGGTTCTAATCATGCAGAAACGACGTCCTGTCACTGACGCTGTTTGTTTGTTTCACGGAAGTTCTGAGTGTCAGGCTGCCTGCATACACGTACTGGCTGCTAAGATCAAGCAGTGATACAAAGAAAACCAGGAGCGTTCACAACACCTCATCGATGTTAAGTCTCTTTCACTGATGTGCATCTGTCCGTAATGTCATCTTAGTTATACATTCTTTTATACCCATTATTTTAAAGGATCTTTTATCAAAAATTATTTATGTATGAATTAAGTCAGAATCAAATATCAAGAATAAAATGTCAAATCCCTCTCTTCTCTACTTTAATCCGGTTTATGTCAATTGTAAAACCTACTATAATTTTTTCATCTAACCTCTTTTAGCTAAACGATGAATCACTTTCATCTTAAAAAAATAACTGACCTCTCAATCATGATATACCCAAAAGGGGATCAGTTGTTTTCTGTATACAATAACAAAGCCTGATAAAATTCCCATCTAGGATTACCAGATCTTAAAATGATCTACAAATAAACATATAAAGCATATTTTCAAACTAAATAACACCTTTTACAGGTTTCAAATAAACGGGGCATAAAAAATAAAGCAAATCCTCCCAATTCCAAACCTAAAACATTTAATAACTATCAACCATAAATCGAGATTCTTGAATCAGATAGTATTGATTACTTCATAACAGTCAGCTCAGTAGTTGTTCCCAACAGTTAAGTAGGTGACAACATGACACAATTTGACAAATAGGGGAAATTCAAATGAAAATAAAGAAAATCTGTCTCATCAAAGACAAAGTGGATCACAGGAATTTGACATGTTGTCAGAAAGTTATTGATAGTCTGTGTCTTCACTCTTTGGTATTCTGTTTTGTACTCTGTAGGAAAAGCTTGGAAGCAGTTTTCAAGATCAGCAGGAGGGGGAGCTGGATAATCGTATTAAGAGTTCACCAATCCTGGTTCGCCCCTGGAGGGGATTGGCGCTCATACCTCCACTGTGAGGAGCAAAGTCAATCCCATTACAGGCGGCTGGTGCAGCAGCAGCAGAATATTAGCAGGATCACACCTCCCTCCCTCCCTCCCTCCCTCCCTCCAGGGACTCCCAGCACCTTCCAGCTCCACACTGTGACGCCTGGCTCAGAGGCACTGAGGAATCATCCTCTTTTGGACACCAAAGCCCGTCCACACTGTGACAGTAGAACGACAGCAACGCAGAGAGAGCAGCATCGCCTTCTCTTCCTCCCTCAGAGACCAAAGTGACGACACTGTGATCCATGGTTCAGCAGCAGGACCGGTGCCTGGCTCAGCAGCACCACGGGGATCACTGGAGGTCAAATCCATCAGAACCCCTCGAAATCCCGTCTTTTTAAAGGGAATTATGTTTGTTTTTTTACACCTGGTTTGTCACACCTTTTAAAAAGGTTTTCCTCACTAGCTCCTTTACACAGATTTCAGTCAGCCTTTATGAAGCCATTTTCAGCAGTGTCAAGTCCTCCTTTCTAAATTCTCTGCAGTGGAGCAGGTGATGAACTTATTGTCCAACCCCCCCCACAGCAATAAAAATGTGTTCCAGTAATCGTTTTTTGGACTTGCAGGGAATCGCAAAATGTGACATTTCACATTTGGTCTGCTGTGTGAGCGGCTGAACTTGGTTTAAGCATCACTCAACTATTTCATTTAATGGCTTAGACTTAATACACGTACCAAAACACTGAGACCTGATCTGATTGTGCAAGTTGGTTTTGGTTTGTGTTTAAAAAACACTTGCAGTCACAGTCAAGTTCACAGAAATCAAGAAATTCAAGGACAGAAAAGAAACATTTACATCCAAACTAAATCTAAGCAGAAGCACTGTTATCAAAAAGTAACACCAGATCAAAAGATTTTCTCTCCAGCTGCTTTAGCTCCTTTCCGTTTAACCTAAATTGAACAGTTTTTAACGTTGTAGTCAAAAACTGCTGTGGGCCAAATTCACTGAGTGGAGAAATTGGCCAGAAAGTCTGAAATAGCAATTCTTATGTTGAGTTTTGTGCATTTGACAATCATTTTGCTGCATTTAAAAGCATCTTAAATCAAACGTCTTCTCAGTAACTAACCCATATTTTTGTACAAAACTTAAATTGTGAAATTCAGTTTAAGGTGATAAATTCAGGCCGTGAGGGGGAATACTTCCAGCACTGTGGCGGCAGTTTCCAGTACTTGTTTGGACTCGTCGTCGCTTCAAGCTTCTTCGCTGCTCCAAGTGTACTTTGATTTGTCGAGGGGGGAAGGTTCACTGTGCTCTGACACACGTGGAGCTGCAGTCTGCTGCTGTCAGACGGAAGGTTTAGATGTTTAAGTGCCTTACGGAGGCCACCTGAAGTTTAGATGATCCTGTTCTGTCTGTCCTGAGCCACAGATTCAAACCAGCAACTTTATCTTCACCTCTCCCCCGAATCCTGACCTCTTTCTCGCTCTCATGTTGTCGTCCCTCCTCCTTGTCGGTTTGGTGTGAATGATCGCCTGCACACTCTGGTGGTCACAGAGAAGCATTGCGTCCTTTGGGAACAACACTGTCTCCGTCTCCACCACAGTCACTGTCTCCGTCCTCCCCATCCTGTTCACAAACACTGGGTCCCACTGTAGGAGTCCATGTCCGTTATGTTCTGCCCTAACAAAGCCACCTCCAAACGCTTCTTCAGATGAAACCTGAATCTTGCAGCCGTCTTTTACCCTCATTTGGAGGAAGCCGTCCCAAAGAAGCCGAAATAATTATACTTTATTTGTATTTAATATATCAGCATTTGGCTGGTGTCTGGCATTAATTCACAGATGTTCCGTTAACACTAGAGCTGAAACTAAATTTATCGGCCTATCGATAATTGATCATTTGTTTTTGTTTTTATTCAGGCAAAAATACTGATTCCTTAATGTGAACATTTACTGGTTTTCTTTGTCTTCTATCATATTAAACTAAATATATGTTTATGCTGACAAAACAGCTATTTGAATATTGACTCGGGCTTTGAGAAATTGTAGCATTTTCACTTTTTTGGACATGTGGAAAAAAAGGTTTAATCAATGGAGAAAATAAATGACAGTTTAATCAATCGAGAACATAATCTTTAGTTGCAGCTCTAGCTAACAGTCGTCACTTTATTTTTCATCCGTTATTTTGTGCTGCGCAGCTGATAGTGCTCAGGCTGGAGGCTGAAACAGCTCACATACGGTACAGTAATATATTTTTAAAGTAGGCCGGTGCCAACGCTAAGGCTTCTTAAGGCGGACTGCAAAGACATTATTCATGGTTGTTGTAGGAACTCACTGAAGCTACAGACGTCCTCATTCTGTCTGCACTGTGACAAAACATCAACTACCAAAAACACCTTTCTGTTCATGAACTACCTTAGAAAAAGTACTTTTCACTCAAATATTATTTATTCTGTTTTCACTGTATCATAAAGGGACAAATATTTAACCAAACAGAGGCCTCTGACAGGATGTTTGTGCCTGGTAACCATTGGTTACAGGCGGCCATGTTGGAGGAAAGATGGCTGCACAAACGCTCCCTGTGGGGCCTCTGTTGTTTTTGCACTTTGCCTTTTTGCTTCACAATCCTGAATCTTTATTTTATCACTAAGTGTAAGGGTAATGATATTTTTTCTACATTAAATGTGTTGTTGTATTATTGTATGTTGAAAACTGACAGTCACTGAAATTGTATTTATTGCTAATAATCCCCCTGATGAGGAATCATGTTTTAATCAAACAGCTGTGGTTGTGAACCTGCAGATGATGCAAAGCATCTTCACATCACATCATTAAGCTGATACAGTTTAAAGATAAAGCATTTAAAATGTGACTCTTCATCTTGAGGCTTCCCGTCAACGTTCTTCCACTGATGTTATTTTCTGTCATGTGTTAAAAGTGTGTGTGTTGTATTTGGAGTCTGGGTTCAGCTGCACTTGAGTGTTGGAGCAGGAGAGCTGATGGGTTTCGCCTTAGAGAGAGTTGTGCAGAATATATTTCTTAGGAACTATATTTAGAGGCGATTCTGGTAGTTTTTTGACACCAGTGGAACTCTGTGGCACAGAGGAATGAGCTTTCAGGTTTTGGAGTAAGTTTAAGTATAGTGTATACTTATTAGTAGGATCAATTCATTCATTCATTGCTGGTTTTAGCTTCTCAAATGTGAGAATTAGAATTTTTCGGCTGTGGAAAAATTTATGAACAAAACCAGTAGCTGCCTGAAAGATGAGAAAAGACGCACTAAAAAGTTTGAAATATAAAAAAGACATCATTTATAGTTAAGGAGCTAAAAATAGCAAAAGCACAGGCGTGTTCTTTTTAACGACGGGGGTTTGTCTCAGTGTTTCTCTCCTGCTCTGACAAAGGTAGTGAAGAAGAATCCACACAGACCAGAGTCGTATATTTAAACTGGTATCTTTGTGAAATCCATGGAAGTTTATTTTGGCAATAAACAGCAAAGCTTCTTTGGTTAAAATAGTTTAAATATGAAAGACGTTCTGAATAGAAGACTCCGCCTGAGAGCAGGAACGGCACACAATCTTTAAAATTAGTCTTCTCTACATTAGAGATTTTTGTGAAATTGATTCTATGCAGCTTTTATTCTGTCAGCTGACCTTCATCCTCCTCCTCCTCCTCAGTGTGTTTACCTGGAACGTGCCACAGCATTTATTTTCACCCTCATTTATTTAAACCTCACATTGAATTTAGTTCATTGTTTTGTATCGAGTTATTATTTCATTCTTCTTCCAGCACTGTACGGCTGAAAAGGGAAATATTTACCAAGTGTTTGTCTTCCATTAATAATTATTGTTTTTACATTTTAAGTTAAATTTAATTCTAAGTTAAATGAATTAGATTTTTGTATTGTGTTTGTCGGTTTTTTATGGACAACTCGGATGAGTGACGCAGCAGTTTGCAGCGTTGCAGCCGAGGCATCACAGGAAGTCGGTCTGTGAGATCTTATTTATCTTTTTTTGGGTTCAGCTGTTGTTGCCACTTTTGTTCACTCCACATGTAGTGAGACAGACAGATCAGATTAAAGTTTTATCAACCTGCTCGTACTGACGACACTGTCCGCAGAGACTGTGTTGGTCACGTTACAGGACAGTGTGGTATTCAACAAAAACAGAAATAAGTGGCTGAAAATATTTATAGAAATATTTTGTAAAAAATAAAGACCATATACTGTTTAAACTGCCAATGTTCAATTCATGTCAAGTTTATTTTCATTAAAAATATGAAAGTGACTGCTTCTGCTCTAACTCATTCTTTCATCAAAATGATTTTCTTAGTTGGGGAATAAAGTGAAGGGAGGTTTGTAATACGGTTCAATATTTGTGTTATGAATATTAAATCAATATATTCCTGTGAGGGGAAATATTAAGTGTTGTTTGTTGTCATACAGACTGAACTACAGACTGCAATAACAGAATATATACATTTGTGCACAATAAAAGCCAGAGCCTATTAAAATGCTGTATATTCACTGTTAACAGTTACAAACTGTATATGAACTTTTTACCAGCAGTTTGGTGTTCCAACATTTTCAGGCCCACATTAAAGGTCCAGCGTGTCACATTGAGGAGGATCTATTGTCGGAAATGGAATGTAATATTCATACGTATGTTTGATAAGAGTCACACTGTGATTGGAGAATGATATTAATTACATTCTGATTTCTTTTATTATTTTATTTATGAAATGATTACTTGCTATCAAATTACAGAGGCTGTTCAGGACCCAACTTAGCTTCCTATCACTCTGCTTAAGCAGTTGCACCGTTGAAGAAATCCAGTTTAGTCTGGAAGAAAATAAACACGGAAAGTTTGCTATTACTATATGAAACTGACTCTGAGTATCATGGTTAACCACAGAAACCAACGACATGCTGAACAGAGACAGATCATAATTCCACTGTTAAACACGCTACACAAAGCTAACTGACCAACTAAAAGGAAAAAAGAAAGATGACATAAAAAGAGAGAGAATGATAGAGACAGAAGGAGAGTGTATGCTAACAGAGAGAGAAGGCAAGCATCAAAGTGTGTAGCAGAACTTTCATGTTGGAGGGCTCTGATGGTTAATCGCTCGTCTCTTCCGTCTTCCAACTGGCAACCAGGAACTTCACTTCCCCTAAATGACCGGAGCCCTCCTCCAAACAGCACTGAACTTTACTCTACTCTTTATTAGTCTTTTGTCAATTATCTGAAACTTTATGTTTGATTTTACATAAAAACCTCTGATTTATTGTAACTTAAAGTAGCTTTAAAGTCTTATAATAGTAACATAAATGAATATAGTATATCTACACTGCTAGAAATCTCTATCTGAAGTCATTTTGACCATTATAAATGAGTGAGTTCTATAAATGGATTCTTCATTAAATCAAGTGTAAAAATTTGCCATTTTAATCTGTTACCAATAAAAAAAAAAACTGTTTCCAAAACTCATTTTTAAGGAGTGTTTGTGCTGCAGTAGGATACAAATGAATAACAACTGATTCTAGAAAATTGTCTTTGAACACCACACAAGTTCATTTTTATTTTATACTTAAGAAAACAGATGATTTGTGTAACATAAAGCATCAAAAGAGGGTGATTTATTAAAGTCAATGTCTTTTTATATGTTACAACTGGAGTGGTGAGAAATGCTCCAGTAGACTCCCTGAAGCAATTTCTGACCACATACAAGTGTTGAAGACTCAGCGAGCATTCAGACTGATAACAGATCAAAACATGCTTTTTAAAAGGAGGCAAATAAACTGCACAATATCACTGCAAGCTAGAAGCTTCCATCGATAACAAGCAACCTAACACTTTCTACAAATATTGTACCTGCATTATACAGAACAACACTTGGATTTTGTTTGTATCTGTGACCTTGAAGAGTTAAAGGACACCAAAAAAAACAAGGAATCACTTCTCTTTCAACAGTTTACTTTTCATATTACAGCTTTTCTGCAAATCACTACAGAAATTAGCCACTGAAAGGGTTAAATGGTCAGACATGGAAGAAAATTTGACAGTAGTTTACTTGTTTGTCTTTGTCAACTTACTTTCTTACAATGCTTTTCTAGAAACTGTGAAACTGAAAGTAAATACTCAAGAAAATCTTCCTAATGTAAATAGAGAGTGCAGAAAGGTAGCTACTTGCTTGACAGATGGCTGCACAACATGTGGCAAAAAAAGCATTTTAATATCTATAAATCTCCACAAATAGGAAATGAAACAACAAAATGTGCATTGATCCTCATTCATTAAGGTGAAACATGTAATATAAACTTACACACAAAGCCTCTCCATGGCAGCGAAGGATTAAAGCTCTGGAGTTCCTTACTGTGCAAAGCTCCACACAAATGGCTGCTCTCAACTATGACCCTACCCATGTGATCACAAATGAACAATAGCCAACAGGTACATTCAGCATGAAACAGAAATCACCAGGGGGCGCTGTTGAGCAGCTGCACCTCATAGTAGGGGAATTTTCTGGACGTCTGGAAGAAAACAATCAGAGGTCAAAGGTTATCACTTACTGACTGTTTTAGTCTTAATAGCAACTGGTGAAAAATGTCGTTTCCCAAAGCCCAAGGTGACGTCCCTCAAATGTCTTGTTTGTCCACATCCCAAAGATATTCAGTTTTCTGTCAAAGAGGACTAAATAAAACAGAAAACAGATTCAGAGGATTTAGACTTTTTTCTCTTAAAAATTAAAAAAAATGATGAATTGATTATCCAAATAGTTGGCAATTACTTTAATTTTTGACAATTCATGAATTATTTGACTAATCATTGCAGCTTTAATATCAGCAGGGATTCTGTATACTGTGGCAGGTTTGTGGTTTAATCACAAAACCAACCAGTGTTAGTGTGAAGCCCCTCAGCTACAAACAGTTGGTTTTTGAGTTTCTTCATTTCAGCATGTGAGCTGCTTCATGTGAACTGTAACCTGGGTTTCATAAAAACTATAATACATTAAGTATGAGGACTTCCTCCTCAAAACAACGGAAGCTTTAAGCTTGAACTATGATCACAAACTGGCCTGGTTCCTGTTTCTTAAGAAGCAGCGAGTTACTCAGAAACATAGACTGATGTGAAATTCTTGTTAAACTCTATTTTTGAGAACATGTCCACAGACTTCTCTCTATACTGCCACTGCACAAACATTTCTTCTGCTGTATGATACAGTCATTACCGAACAAAAAATAGATTTTAAGAGAATGTTTGGTTTGTCCATTCTGGGCTACTGTAGAAACATGGTGGTGCAACATGGTAGACTCTCTGTAGATATGAAAGGCTTATTTTAAGGTAACAAAAACATAACAATTCTTATTTTCACTTGATTATACATTATATATAATTATTCATTTAGATTTCTACCATATTCTGTAAATGAGCCACCTAAATCTTACACACTGGACCTTTAAAATCCTACCACAGTTTTGACTCACGTTCTCCTGAGAACTGGCTGCTGTGAGTGTAAACTGTACACATTTCTTCAGGAGGAGATCTGCTCTGTCCGTCTTCCTCCTGCAGGAAGAGAACAGGAGTTTGGTTTGTGTTCAGATCAGCTGGTTTCACAAACATGAATAACATTGGCCCAAATTTACTCAAACTCACCTCGTTGAAATGAACATACTCCACAGTAGGTTCTAAAAAACATGCAGTTCAGAAGATTAGGTCCACTGTTAAAACATCTGGCTTAGTCAAAGAGACACATACAGCCCATTTCTATCAGAACGTTCCGGTAACTAAACATCCCTGTTGGTGTTCTGTAAAGATTAGGCAAAATGTACCAATTATGAATTTAAAAACTAGTTTTTACATGAAAGGAAACAACACCATTTTCACCTGAACAGGCCA